AAATATAATTATGCAATTCAACATGCACAAAATGTGTAATACACATGCACTATTTATTTACAAGTGACTACAATTCATTCGGCATAACAACATCGACTGACTGACCGACTCACTCACTCACAAACAAACACGAATAAACAACAATAACCACGACAACAATCCTCATGTATTATGTAATCAATTTGTCTGACACGATTTTCTGTTGCTTGTTTTATTTTAATCATCTAGGTCATTGAACTTCCGATTGTGTAACTGACTCAATCGGTCACTCAGCTGGTCAGTCACTCACTCAGTTGATCAGTCAATCGGTCAATCAGAGTCATGCATTGAATGTGTGACGGAGAGTTGTTAATCATCAATGAGGGGATCAATAGGGTGACAAACACATTTTGTGTGGAAAATGTTTGCGATGAATCTGTTTCTCTCACATGTGTCATATGTGTCAGCCGTTCAAAACACACAGTGAATATGTGAACTGTTCAATGCAAATGATATCCGATTGGAATGCGATGTCATTCTTAGTGACAAATACACTGATGTACACTGGAATTCGATCAGGTGGGAAATGAGCATCACCAAGATTTTGTTGACATAACGACAGTGTGACAGATATATCATTTAAGTCTACATGATGATGAATTCGATGTGATCGGTGGATGCCAACTGATAGAGATGATGTGTCTGTTCACGAATTTGGTTGGATATCCACTTCTACTTAGCAGATCACGAATATTACCGAGATGTTCGTTGATGAGTGTCTCATTTGAACGGATAAATCTAGCTATCCCGGTGAACCAGACATCTAACCAGACTAATTATGTATTGTAGATGTAGCTACAAAGTTCAGGAAGTGAGTATATTGTCCAGTGGAAGTAGGTTTTTTGTGCACACGTCCAAATACTGTTCCGTCCGCCCAATCCAGAATGGAGAAAGAGTCATTTTGTTCACTCTTCTTTAGTGAAGCTTATTCTACGATGTGCTCTATTGAATTAATTTAATTTGTCCTTAGTATTACTTCATTTCTTGACAACTAATAATGCATCACCCGTATATCGGCAATAGAAATCAATATTATATATTACATTTTCAAGAGAACCATTCTGTAATTATGCCAGGAAAACATCTGCTAAGACTGTGTATAACCTTGGTGTCACTGTGCCTATAGGTTTTAGTATTTCATAAAAGTCAGGTGAAATATGACATTTTTGTTGCAACTATTTTAAAGACTCTGTCAACTGTCTCTCCGTCCTCTCCGTTGTATCTTTGTTGGTTTCTGAAATTTGCATGCATCACTTAATAAAGTCTCCATTTTGACTTATCTATGGTAACGACTCCCAAGACTTTGCGAGGTCTTGAAGTCACTATATTCTCACTTTCTTTCAATTTCATGATGTATTTTGGTTATAATACTCTTTGTGTTACCTCTACTATTCATGGATTTATGACAATAATCGATTAGAATTGCCTTAAATCTGTTAACCTCCTCATCTGATGAGGGCGTTATGTCTACAGCCTGAGCATATGGGGTTTTCTAAATGAGTTTTATATTAGTATCACAAAATTTGAGACCGACAGATATGACAGATATGTCGTATCAAGAACCACACTAGAAAAATTGTGGACATACCGTTCTGGATTGGCCAGACCATATGACTAATCGCACAGACAGAAAATATGTAGACGTTTGCATAGAAAACCTAATCCCCCTTCACAATTTACTCACTTCCTGAGCTTCGTAGCTACCTATACAATACAAAGGTAATCTGGTTAGATGTCTGGTTCACCGGGCTGGCTAGATTTATCCGTTCAAATGAGACACTGATAAAGATGCTGTGGTTCGGTGCAATGATAACCGCATCCATCTGTGTTCGATGGGTGGATGAACAGTAGGAGAGTGAAGTAGATGCGTGTGGATGTTATAAATGTCTGTATATGTTTGATTGGACACTAGTCAGTAACCATCAATTCACATTTCACCGTGATGGCGAGCACCTATCCTGTTGGTGGCCACATTGCACAACTGGACTGATAGAATTCAGCCTGTACCAAAAATAGTTCTACCCACACATTACACTAGCTACTGACTAGTTTCCAATCAGAAATATTCAATACGATCCTACAGGAGGTCAATTGTGAGCCAGCCCGAATAGCTCCACAGTGGTGGTCACGTCTCTGACTGACTGCAGTACTCACTGGGTTGTGACGCGGGTTCAAATCTCAAAAGAAGCGACATGAGTTGTCCCTTCAATGTGGTTGCAGATATGCTCGGCTGACTTATGGTGAGTGAAGGCCAGCTAGCACGAAACCTAGATGTAGGCAAGGCTTCCTGTGGCCGACTACTTCCAACCGGCTAATATCTGCATATTTATAATGAGTATTTTATGGGTACACAGTTTACTGATATGACGTTTTAATTTGGGATTATTCTTTCAGCATATATTTATGATGAATAGGAGACGGTTGTATTGTATGAATTCCTGTCTCACTCGATTACTTACTTCCGTGATTTCAGATATTTCTCCAAAAACCCAACATGAAATTCGCTCACCTTCACCTGTAGAAATGTTCATCACAACTAGCAAACAGTACATGCTGTGTAGGTCATTGTTGTAGGTGGTCTGGAATGTGAAGGTGACTGACATTCTCAAATTATCATCCGGATTACAACTCCGTTCATCTCACACCGTTTCAATGAATTGTATGAATTGGCTGTATAGAAAGACGGATTCTCAAGTTAGTTGACGAATACCATGAATTCCCTCAGATTTTTGGAATGATTGTGATCAATCTGGTTATATATAAAAGGGGTGAAATCAGTGATTCGCCCATATTGCAATGATTACAGTTTAGTGAGTAAGCCAACTTGCATTCTAGCAGTGTGATGATGGCAATCGATCATCACAACTAACCCCAGGATGACTAACCATAAATTAATCTTAGTCTAGTCATCCGTGATCACTGGCAATATAAAGCAGTCAGATCAATCTGTCAGTCACATGAAGTGGTGATCGTAAACCACAAAGGAAATTGACTAACTGTGAAGAGTGCAAAATGTTTTCTCTTCAAATGACTCTATCATCAACAGACAGCCAACACCGAGTGGATGGAGGCGTCATCTACATAAACAGGACACATGAGCAAGACACATAAATCATCTAGACAGTGGAACTAGTCAGTGGTCTTCTCTCTGTCTCAAAACACTTCAAGCATGATAACACACCACCTTTCCAGTTCAACTGATGCTATTACATCAATCTGGATTACGCTGATACTACCTCCAATGAATACTGAATTAACAATCCCAATGATGAAAGGAAGTGGAGCAGATTCAACCAGACATAAACATTTTGACGCCTTTTCAACTGAATTATCATTTGATCCTCACGCAAAGGTGTAACTTAATTGATTTTGCGCGTCTACTCAATGTGTAACACGCTTTCTCAATTCTAGAATACTCCTCAACTTCATTTATACATGATAAGGAGCTTGACGACGGCGTCTATTTTATTCTTATTATGTCTATTGATTGTTTGACTGACTGACTGTCTGTTTTCAACATAGAACTTTTCACAGATGTGCACCAATTCGAGTTGCCACTCTCCCTCAATAATGCACAATGAGCAAGAGATGACACCAGAGGATAGTTCAGAAATACAATGCAAAAAGAATAGTGATATGGAAGATTTTATAAGTCACAAGTATTGGATGCAGCTGGGCCATTAATAACGACTTTGAGGCATATCAACAACTGTCTCCAGCATTCGTTGATTTTTGCCGTCTGGATGACCCCAACCTGTCAGGAAGTCTACACTTTCCTACATGGCTTAATCTATCTGTTGTGGATTTCATTGACTGATGAAGCCACGTTTTGGCTTGACCAACACTGGCTAACATTTTTCCAACCTGATTCATCCTATGTCAGCTAAGATTGCCCGTCGGTCGAGGAAGGTGATGGCTAGGCAGGCAGGCAGGCATGCGTAACACATGTCTTAACCATCCATCTCAATCGATGTAACTGCTTCACAACCTCGTGATTTGATTTCACCTCCTCCACACCCAGCACTCGACCGACGCCTAGTCTCGATATTGCCCACACTATAATGCCACCTTCTAACATGAGAGATAGAACGCAGGCACCTATGATCAAAGACAGCTAGCCAGAAAGGCTTTTAATGTCTTCCACTTTCATTGGCCATGTCTCACTGCCAGCCAGCCATAAATGAGGATGAAGAGGACTGCTGAACCCTTTGGTCGACAGCCAGCCGAATATCACGTATACTAAGGCACAGACAGTGCAAAATGACATATTGTGTCATTTAATCATATGATGATCATATTATCCTCCTTCAAAGTGACATTTAGTCACTGCACAGTATTTGAATACTTTGTAGAATGATGGTTAGTTGTTCACGGTTGCAGGCAAGTGGAAGAAACCAACGATATCTTGTGACTTCACTTCATCCAAATTCATACACTCTTGATGCTAAATTGAACTTCATCAATGGAAATACTTTTATGAAGCGTTAATCATATAGATCATTCACAAGATGTCTCCGATGACTTCACAGCCTAATCGACATTAAAGATGTCGACTTTGGAAATTCTGTGTGAAGAACGCAACTCCGATAGTAAATCGCAGCGTTTGAGATTGAATGCATTCTTAATCATCTCAACACACACACACACACACAACTAATTTGAAATCACATGTCGTCAAATCACATTCACATGCATTACTGTCAACTAGTGCTCAATCAAGCATAAAATATCTCCTGAAATTACAACGATCACCTTCACGCTTAGATTCTCGGAGAATAACACAAACACAATCATTGTTCGTCATTGTTATCATCAAATCATCTACACAATCGAATTATCCCTATCTACTCACATAACACAGACGCACACGCATGCACGAATAACAAAGACGAAATCGCGGAGGACATTCTCTCAATGGAAATCAAGTAAAACACTGTCACGAATTTTAGAATTATATATTTATTTGGAGAGATAATGCGTCACAGATGAACAATCAGGATGAACAGTATTTGCCTATGGAAGATTAGCTGTTTGGAGGAATCGATCCATTCTATTTACAATAAGAAGATATTATTCTCCTCACATTCACGACGGACATGTTCTGGCCATATACTAACCTGCACCTCACCAATATGCTTCTTCTCCAGGAAGAACATACACAGTCGACTCTGTCCAATACCACCACCTATTGTCAGTGGATATTCACCAGACAGCACCTTCTGATGATATTCGAATTGACGCCGGGATTCACAACTACTCTGTCGTAACTGACTATCCATCGACACTTCGTCCACTCGGATCCCCATCGATGACAGTTCAATGCATCTGTCATCGTGTTCACTGTACACCAGGATATCTCCATTCAACTCCCAATCATCATAGTCTGGAGCTCGTTTGTCGTGCACTTGCTTCGACTTCAACACCTTGCCGATTTGCTTCAGAAAGACAGCACCATACTGTTTGACTGCAAGATACTCGCGTTCTACAGGTGTCTTCTCCGGATACAGATCCTCCAGTTCTTGTGTCTTCAGAAATGTTATCTTATCCGGTAGCTTTCTAGTCAACACTGGATATGCGCTCAGCAACATTTTCTCCGTCTGCTTCATAGCATCATATATCTTTTCAACGACTTCCTCCAATGTCTTCTCATTCCTCTGATCTCTCTGGATAACCAGCTCCCAATCCCATTGATCCACATAGTAGGAGTGCAATGAAGAGACGTCTTCATCACGTCTTATCGCATTCATGTCTGTGTATATGCCTTGGTAGTGCTTCAACGGGTATTTGTGCAGTGCCATGCGTTTCCATTTAGCCAACGACTGATTGATGTATGCACGCTCACCGGATCGAACATCGAAGCAGATGGCACGTTCTACACCAGACAAATCATCCTGCAAACCACTGTTCACTGGCACGAATAATGGAGCGGAAACTCGCAGTAAATTCAAGTTGGCTGACAGGTGTTTCTGGAAACAATGCCTCAGGTATTTGATAGCTTCCTGTGTCTTCTCAACATCAAGCTTTGACTGGTATCTTGTCATTATGATGCTGACTTGGGCTGATGACTGGAAGGGGGTCAACTGAAAAGCAGAGAGAGCGAGAGAGAAATCACTTTGATTAGATTGCTTGAGCAACAACAAACAAGTGAACAATTCGGTGAGAACTCATAAGAGTTCTGGTGAGATGACGCTTCAATTAATGCTCCCCCACATGGAAAGAAAACTGGTGGGATACTGAGTGAATTTCTAATAATAATAATAATAATAATAATAATAATAATAATAATAATAATAATAATAATAATAATCTATTTCATTCGAAAGACAGCACTACTTATAATACACAATGGAATTCTCAGCATTTGTCACAACACCTTGCATCTGATTTACTCAAAACACTATAAAAAAAATTTACCACAGGAATTTGTCCATATTTACAGTAGGAATAATGTCAAAAATATGCAGAGTACAAAGTGAGAATAATAAATATAATAATAATAGTAATGATAATAATAATAATAACAGTGGGTTTGTTTCAAATTCTGTTGTCGATACAGTCAGTAAGGTAATTTTAGCATGTTATTATAGAGTATTGAATTTGATGTTCACTTGACATATGTTGATGACGGGAAAGACAAATAAATAACAATTTTCACACAGCTTAATTGATGTTTACATCTATGAGAAAATAAACAAAATGAAAATTGAAAGGATTGTAAATATAAGAAGAATAATGCGAATAAAGCTTGTTGGTTTAATCGTGGAGTAAATGGTTTATTTACTGGTGCAAAGAAGGTTAGTTAGTTCGTCCCTGACACTGTTCTCCTCACATAAAATACATGCTGCCAAATATGCTGTCGTGAAATTACTTTTATACTAAGACGTGCGTGCATAAAGTCTTCTGAAAAGACTTCTTGTTTTACCTGAGGAGACACAAGGTTGGAGCTACGGGTAATGTGGATGCTCACAGTCTGACAAAATCCATTTAGCAAATTTGTCACATGAAATCAAGTGCCTATCACCAATGACGATGTCAACGATATGACCTCCATTGTGATACAAGCACTCACCCCCTACTGACTGACAGTCTTCAGAATTCTCCAAAGTATGACACCGTCTTTTTTGTAAAGCAACCCAGGAAAGAATAAGTAAGGGTGAACAGTAAAGAAGAATAGGTAAGATGCACAAGAGTTGACAAACTATAAGATGCGGAGGAGGGGTTGAATCATGACTGAATGCCTTAACTTCTTAATGTAAAAAATCAGACGGAATATTATTCTGGAAATCGTTAGACACGGGAAGACCAGGATAGATCACAAGAAAGAATTAGTCAAATTAGTCCGTAACAAACGAGAATCATGTTCCACTGTGGATTTATCTTAACCAAAGAACGAGTGTCTTCCATAGCCTGAATTTAATGGTATAGCCTTTATCGCAAGTTTGACGAGATTAGACCTTTACAAGTAACTCTATTTTGGACAAAGCTAACAAGAATCATTGAAGGCGAATATTCTGACAACATCGTGTAACCGTACATGCATATCAATCTGTCTGGTCAACTAACTTAGGCTAACCTGACTGAGAATTTCACTTACCGAATACGTGAATACACACACAGACACTGATTATACTTCTGATTGTATTTCGCCTCTCAGTTCTCTATACGTAGATATATATAGGCGAGTGTATGTCACTGTTGACCTTCATCGCTCCACTTCTGATTGGTTATGCATAACTCAACGAATCATTTTCCGTTCTCTACAATCGATTGATCAGAAGTCGTAAATATTTTGATGTGTCCATATTTTGGCTCGCATAAGAGACATTGGTGGGATTTCGGCATTTCTGTCAACAGGATTGTTATTATTATTGTATCAGATATTTCAAATCATATTTCACACTGATGAATCAACATTGAATCGCTCATGTTGTTTACCCTTATTTCAATATTGTAAATAAACAATGGTCAGCATTTCAGATCATGTGACTATGTTTGACAACACAACCAATCAGATCGTTGAATACTGACCAATGGGAGAATGGCTGATGAAATTAGACGACCAAGTTATTATTGTTGACTGTTAGTTATCTAGTGCGTCGGTGGCATAGCGGTTAGGACGCTCGCTGATCATGCACATGGTCCGGGGTTCGATCCCCGGCCGGCTCACTCCTTTACCTCGCTAAGCCAGAAGTAAAGCTGGTGAAGAGGAAAGGTTGGGCATTAGGCTAGCAACCTCTAGCCTCTAGCTTGAAGCCCTATGTTCCACTGGAGACGTGAAGGAATTTAAAAAAATATTAGTTATCTATACAATTGTGGGTACTTGTGGTATTGTGTGAAGGGTTGCAGCGAACACTTCCTCCCAATAGTAACATTTCGTCATCTCCCCCACAGCACATGCATCCAAGTATGTCGTTGTGTTACGAATTCCATGGAAAATCGGAAATTCCATCTAATAATATTGGTGTTTGTGAAAACATGGTTGCTCAGTGGAAGATAGCAGTGGAATTGTTCTGATGAACAGTCTGAATTTTCACATTTCATTACGCAACAATCGTACTAAACGTGAGTATTCCTCCACAAATGCTGACAAGAAAGTTGTTGAAATTTAGAATTCACTGGGATTTGTTCTACTTTCACCATCTAACGAGAATCGATAAACTTCTCGGTGTAACTACACAACAAACTGGAAACTTCTGGTCAGTGGTTTAACTAGTCATACTCCTGAATACGAATAATATTCCCCTTCAAGTTTTCTTTCCTTATAAATGTAAAGGAGGATGAAACATCGCTTTATTCATAAGTCTCTCGACCAGAAGTGTACATTTTCAAGTATTTTAATCTGACATTCTGTATTGTATAACTGACAATGTAGTTGACAAATTCATAGGATGCATCTGAGTTGCTCTTCTTCTTGTTGTCATCTCTTCGCTTGATCACGTAGATCTCGTCGACACTTGCTGTGTCAGTCGAGAGATCGAAGTGGATATCATCAGTACGGTTAGATAAACTAATAAGTGTCATTACGAAACAATGAATAATTATGCTCCTCCGAATAAGTTCACTGATCACTCGTCAAATTCAATAGAGAATCTTATTCATTGATAATATTTATACGTATTAAGCCATATCCATATAGGTACACATGTTCCCTGAGCAGAGTAATGAGATGTGCAAATAATGCCATGTATGATCATTAGATGAAGGAACAATAATACGGTCGACTGCAGTCATCTGGAAAGGCGATTTCACTCCAAATCATCAGTAAGCTGAAAGAAATCACAAAGGAAATCTCGTTTTTAAGAAGCCGCTTCAGTAAATCAGAAATGATCATTAGACCTCATAGAATGAGTGTAGCACAATTTCACCTTCACATCTTTGTAATGTAGCCTAAGTACATTTGAATTACCCTGATAGTTCGAGAAGATACTCAAACTGTCAAGAGTTTGTTTGTAGGTGTTGGAATTGGTTGAAATTTGAATACGCATCGATGTCATTTGTAGGACCATTGAAAATCAGGGAGTCCTAAACAGCTGTTTTGTCAAAGATTTGGATTCTCCACCTGTCTGTACCCACGGTTCGATGAACGAATGAGTGAGCCTGATACATTCATTTCACCAGCCTTATCCAGTTGGGCATTCAGTCACCTGGCTCGGAATTAAATAACCCATAAATTCTAACTTCTGTAAACTCGCGATTTCAACGTGACCGCTGGCCAATGTCATCAACCAGCATTAGTCCTCACACCACACTGAAGTGAATGACAACCTTCCTTGACACTAAATAATTTCAGTTCACTTAAAAAGTTTAGGAAACATATTAATTACCACAATGATCCACCCTTGGGACGTGATTAGGAGAGAGAAATGCCAGACAACTATCTGCAACTGGTACTGCAAGCTCGCATTTAGAATAGTTTTGGCCTCGTGGTACAATGTTAGGTACTGGTGTAGAACAGCACAATTATTTGTCTTCATTGTGCGCAGACTTATGCATTGCTAATCCCCGTAAACAAATGTGGATTGGACAGTTACGTTGTTTTGACTGAGGTCCCTTTGGAAGTGTGATGCGATTGAAATAGTTGTGCAAAGCCTAGAAAATGAACTACACATAGCTGTGCACGACAGTGTATTCGGAAGGTCCAGGCTTCGAAAACCAGTGACTTGGTACCGTACTGCCAATGAATTTCAAACCAGGCTGGTAAAACAGCTGTCCACTACTCCCAGCTGGTTTCCACTGGTTCTCTAACTGATATCGATCCATGGTGAAACTCGAAATACAAGTCAAATGCTTAAGAATCAACTCTTGAAAATCGAGATTTGTAAGTCTTCAGTTAAAGTGTGATCGCAGTTCACGCAAATTTGTTTGTTTATTATGCATACTGATGCCTGTTTCATGCTTCATATGACCGGACAAAGTTTTTAAAAACAAGTGATGTCCTTTTTTATTCGCGCATAAACCTTTGTTATTTCAATTTTGACTAATTGCCCTGAAGAAGTTCGAACCAGTTTAGCCAGATTAGGGAACGCTGGAATTACACATTTTCCTTTCGCTGAGATTTTACAAATGTAATTCTCCACAAATGTCTTATTCGCCATATAATCGACATTCATGAATGATTGTAACGTTGGTTTGAGTATCCGAAAATGAGTAATACGGGTAGGTATTGCAATAGATAAGCATTATTTCCCAGACGTGTGACATAGTACATGACATCTCGAGTGATTTTACTGTGATGACTGTTGTATTTATCCTCAATAACGTCGCCTAGTTAACTGGCTGACGAGTTTTCTAACCGGTTCCAAGTCCGGGTAAAGAGGGACGGTTAGGAGTGAGAAACTTCAAGCCACAAAAATACATTAAAAATACAAAAAACTTCAAATAACAATCTTATTCTTCGGTCGAATCGGAGAGGCGATATGGCACAGCAGAATGGTGAAAGCCTTCCGGAAGCACTTAGCCTGAGGATATGTTTCCTCTCGATGAAAGGAAGAATAAGAATGCGGACTTGGAATGTACGTGCAATGTACGAAGCCAGATGGGTAGGCTGCCCAGGTAGCCAAAGAAATGTGAAGATATGGTATAGAAGTTCTGGGAATCTTCGACAGCAGATGGATGGAGTGGATGTGGACTGTCAGAATTGTCAACTGGTGAGTCAGGAATCTATTGTGGTCTGTTCACCCCCACAGACGACAACCACGAGCACACTGAGGTAGTGAGTGGCTATCTACCGTGATGTCACCACTGCCAGCCAAGCCCCAATGCAGTATGAATCAATCTCATTATACATAATGATAACTGCAAGACTGAACTCAAAAGGAAGAAAGGATCGTTACTATTATCCAGGGCTACTCACAGTACTACAAGCAACTCGGAAGTAGAGAAGAAGGAAGGTTTCCATAGACAAATACAAACAATAATGGACAACATCCAGAATGGCGACATTAAGATCAATATGGGCGATATGAATACCAGTCCAACTGGGAACAGATAATAGATTAAGAGAACTCATCATATGTCGAGAGGCTATCGATCGGCGAAGTGAATGAGGACCGAGAATTATTCACAGACTGCTGCGCCTTCAATGACTTGGTGATCGGAGGCAGCGTGTACAAGCACAAGGATATACACAAGGCCAGCGACACAGATTTCATCTGACTGACACACCACAAATTAGAAAGATTTCATCTCACTGCTGCCGAAGGAAGTGGAGATGCAGGTAACCTGCTGGGTACAAAGTCGAGAAGGTGAGCAGATGTGAGCTCAGACCATTATCTAATTGAAGGGACCTTCAAGTTGAAACTGAAATTCTTCAGAGCAACTGCAGACAGCCCACTGTAATTGAAGTTCAACATTCAGAAACTGGAGGACAAAACTGCAAGGGATACCTTCACTACAGATCAGAGGAGAGTCTGAAACACTACGTGACATCACTGAAGAAACCTGTTTGGAATAACATTGGAACTAACTCTTTGAAACTAGTGTTCAAGGAAACGTGCATAACCTTTCTAGGAAGAAAGAAGATACAAGACGAGGAATGACTGTCTGTGGACATCCGAAACAGAGGAGAATGGTGAAACAGATGACGGACCAAAGAAAATATGAACAACAGAAGGAGAAGTTGAGTTCAGTGCAAACTGCATTTGAATAAAGATGTGAAGAAGAGTTCTAGAAAAAACAAAGGACAATTCCACGACACACTGGCTGGCAGCAAATGAAACAGAACAGGCAGGCCGTAGGTAAAAGAGATCTCCAAACATTGTATCAGATAATCAGGCTGCTCGATATCTGTGAAGAGATCAACACAAATGACGAGACCAATAAAAGATGTTCCAGGGAGCCTGATTACGAAGGAGGAGAAACAAATAAATCCATGGACTGACCACTGTATATGACTCTTGAATCGACTATCACCTGCAACTCGCCCAGTAATACCACCAACAATAACAACAACAACACGCACGGAACTATCAGTCGACTCCAATCCTCCAACGAAAGCTGAAATACTTAATCCCATTAAGCTACTGAACACTGGCTGGGAAGACAGCACGCCCAGACAGAATTCCCTCGGAGCACTGAAAACGGACCCAGATACTGCCGCAGATATGCTCATGCCATAACTGAAAAAGGTTTGGATGGAAGGAAGCTAC